CTGAGTGCCATTCATCTAATAATGTGCACTCACATCCCAGCTATCTGGGGATATGTGAAATGTCTGTGTGTTATGTGTAAATGTGACTTTATGTATTTTAAAGTGTTTTGTGTCTTTTTGCAACCATGTGCTTAATGGAGTCTTGTGCCTGTCCTGGGAGATAATTGAATTACTTATCTCCAGGATAGAAGACTCTGAAACTGGTTTGGGCCAGAAAGCCATGCTTCATTTAGTCACAAAGGACTTTTTACTAACTTTTGAACCCCCTTGTCTGATTTGTGCCATTTTTGAATATGTTGTTCCCCTGAATGGATTGATTGAGAATATGTAATTTTATGTGAATGTGATGTATGGTTTTGGAGTTATGAAAGTTGGGTAGAAAGTATGTTTTAACTGTTTGTATAATTGAGTTTTCCTCTCAGGATAAGGGGAGGGAATATGTGGGATGTAACTGTGATATGATTGGTTGTTTTATCCCTCCCTGTGGGTGGTCCTGTATTTGAAACACTGTAATAAAAACCAGGCTGGGTGTGCCAGCACCTAGGTTCCATTTTAACCCTCAAAGTGAAATTAATGGAGTCTCATTATTGGGGAAGGTTGTGTATGCTGTTCCAGTTTGACTGCTTACTGGGAGAGTAAACCTATTCGTATGGTTCCTATTCAACTGTCTACAGCATTCATATGCTTGGGAGAATTTATTTGTTTCTCCGGTTCGGTGATTGTGGTGTCTGCCAGAGTGCTTGGAGTCCTCAGGAAGCGCTAGGAGCATCCTTCAGCGGAGGTACCCAGTCGGGGGTGCCAGGTGATCCGTTACATTGGTGGCAAGCGGTGGGATGGCATCCTAGTGCGAGGTAAAGCAGCTCAGAGACACAGTTCGTTTGGATTTACAAATTGAGGGCAACGCTAGCACACGTGCAGCGACCCTGGGAGCAGAGGTATCCAGCGACTTGGAGCAGACAAGTATGGAAGGCTCTGGCGATGATTGGATGGCCGAGGTGAGGCAGCGAGTGGCCCAGTATGGGGATGATTTACCCATGGAGGTACGCCGGGTGATCTGGAACCAGGTCACAGCCGAGCGAAACACAAGGCTGGCCCGAGAATTCCGGCTGGCGAAAGAGAGAGAGTATGCTCAGCGGAAGGAGTGTTACAGCAGCCGAGTAGAGGCTGCATCCGAGGAGGCAAGCCGTCTCCCCCTGAGGCGGCCGCAGGAACCTGAAGTAGGGGTCCTCATAGACTGGTCCTGTGAGGAACCACAACAGGCAGGTGGAGATGGGACCGGCCCAGATCCCCAGCAGCAGCCGGAGTTGCCAGGTGCGGAAGCAGGTGGTCCTTACTCGCAAATGTTGAGGGACCTCACAGACTGGTCCTGGGAAGACCCACAGATGGCAGGTGGAGATGGGCCGGCGGTCTCTCAACCGGCCCTACAGGGATGCTGGGCGGTCGGCCCAGATCTCCAGCGGCAGTATGTACCCCAGGGAGCTGAAGGTGCAGTCCTTCCTCCCCAGCAGCAGTGTGCACCCCAGGGAGCTGAAGGTGCAGTCCTTCCTCCCCAGCGGCAGTGTGTACCCCAGGGAGCTGAAGGTGCCGTCCTTCCTCCCCAGCGGCAGAGTGTCCTGCAGGGGGCAGAGACCGTCAGTCTCGCACCCCAACCACAGGACAAAATAATGAAAGGGGAGACAGCTGGTCCCCCTCTCCACCAGCAGAGAGAGTGTCAGGGAGAGGAGCCTGATACCCCCTCTCCCCAGCGGCAGTTTACAGTTCAGAGAGAGGAGCTTGTTACATCCTCTCTCCAGCGGCAGCTTAACCCAGCAAGGGGAGATGTTACACCCCCCAACAGTGCAGATGGAACTGTAGTCTCTGCACTTACAGCACAAGGGGTAGGGACAGTCGGTCCTGTTCCCCAGCCACAGAGCGGTGTATCCAGAGGGGAGACAGTCGGTCTCTCCCTCCCACAACCAGGCTCCCACCAGGCTACTTCCGTGGTAGCACTAGCATCAGGGCAGAGTACCGCTGGTCTCTGCCCACTCAGCAACCCACCAAGGCAGCCTAACAGTTGCCCACACAGTCGTGGTGAGGCACCTGGACATGGACAAAGTTCTACTCTACCCAGGTGTAGTAACCAGTTATTGTGGGTGGGCTGTACTGCTGTTTCTGTTTTGTGGGTGGGTTGCTGGACTAACCAGGGCACTGACCGGCAGGAGGTCAGATACCCTGTTAGTCTGATTGGTAAAGGGGAGAAGTGTGGCGAAACCAACCTCGCCACTGTGAACTGGAGAAGCCTGGTTGCTCGCCTGCTCCCTTTGGACTATGGCCCTGCAGGTTAAACCGTTTATTTCCCCTGCAGAAAGGCTTATTTGTGTGATCTGAGTGCCATTCATCTAATAATGTGCACTCAGATCCCAACTATCTGGGGATATGTGAAATGTCTGTGTGTTATGTGTAAAATGTGACTTTATGTATTTTAAAGTGTTTTGTGTCTTTTTGCAACCATGTGCTTAATGGAGTCTTGTGTCTGTCCTGGGAGATAATTGAATTACTCTCCAGGATAGAAGACTCTGAAACTGGTTTGGGCCAGAAAGCCATACTTCATTTAGTCACAAAGGACTTTCCCTTAACTTTTGAACCCCTGGTCTGATTCGTGCCATTTTTTAATATGTTGTTCCCCTGAATGGATTGATTGTGAATATGTAATTTTATGTGAATGTGATGTATGGTTTTTGGAGTTATGAAGTTGGGTAGAAAGTATGTTTTAACTGTATGTATAATTGAGTTTCACTCAGGATAAGGGGAGGTGTGGATGTACTGTAATGTGATGATGGTTGTTTTATACTACTCCCTGTGGGTAATTCTATATTGCAAGACTGTAATAAAAACCAGGCTGGGTGTGCCAGCACCTGAGTTCCTGTTTTAACCCTCAAAGTGAAGTGTCGTCTCATTATTGGGGGAAGGATTTATTGTATGCTGTTCCAGTTTGACTGCTAGGAGAGTAAACCTATTCGTATGGTTCCTATTCAACTGTCTACAGCATTCATATGCTTGGGAGAATTTATTTGTTTCTCCGGTTCGGTGATTGTGGTGTCTGCCAGAGTGCTTGGAGTCCTCAGGAAGCGCTAGGAGCATCCTTCAACGGAGGTACCCAGTCGGGGTGCCAGGCGATCCGTTACACACGGAACCTCCCAAATAGCTGCTAGCAGACGAACAGGAAAAGCAGACGAACAGCTTACACTCCTGGCAATCGGTCTCTAACAGCATACAGTGAATCCCCCCAAGAACGAGACAAGGCTCCGTGTTGAGGGTCAAGCAGTGGTCTGAGGTGCTGGCACACCCAGCCTGGTTTTTATTACAGTGTTTCAAATACAGGACCACCCACAGGGAGGGATAAAACAACCAATCATATCACAGTTACATCCCACATATTCCCTCCCCTTATCCTGAGAGGAAACTCAATTATACAAACAGTTAAAACATACTTTCTACCCAACTTTCATAACTCCAAAACCATACATCACATTCACATAAAATTACATATTCTCAATCAATCCATTCAGGGGAACAACATATTCAAAAATGGCACAAATCAGACAAGGGGTTCAAAAGTTAGTAAAAAGTCCTTTGTGACTAAATGAAGCATGGCTTTCTGGCCCAAACCAGTTTCAGAGTCTTCTATCCTGGAGATAAGTAATTGAATTATCTCCCAGGACAGACACAAGACTCCATTAAGCACATGGTTGCAAAAAGACACAAAGCACTTTAAAATACATAAAGTCACATTTATACATAAAACACAGACATTTCACATATCCCCAGATAGCTCAGGTCTGAGCGCACATTATTAAGTGAATGGCGCTCGGACCACACAAATACAGTTTAATCACCATGGAGCCAAAGTCTTTACAGTCAGTTTCATACGAATGGGCTCCATGGGATTCCTATCTGGGGTATAACACATTCAAACAAATCTACTGAAACCCAGGCAGAAAAGCACGAATACAGCTTTTCTGCAGGCAAAAATAAAGTCTTTTAAAAGGGGGCCATAGTCCAAAGGCAGCAGGCGAGCAACCAGGCTTCTCCAATGCAATGTGGCGAGATTGGTCTCGTCACAAGCTGCTATTATTAAATATACTGTTTGGAGATTATACTAAAAAAAAAAAATTCTATATCTTTGTATAAACGCTAATACCCTTTGTCCTTTCTCTAACATATTTAGTAGTGGGAGATTTTGATACATGTGTATTAAAGTGTTTAATTGATTGATTGCCTTTTTGGGCATATATAAAGACATGCATGCTCAGTTCAAAAGATACATGCACCTGAGGAAGACCTTTTAATGGTTGAAACGCTTTGTGCTACTTGTATTTTGTTCTTAATTATCTGTTAATAAATACTCATCTTTTAATACTTACCCTGGACTCTAGAGCTCCTGTGTTGTACCAGTGCTGACACCCTGAAGGACGACTATTGGAAATTCCACCCATTATCTCTCTGATGGGATGAAAAGCGCCATAGGTAGCGAGCCAACTGTTAATGGGCTTTGAAATGAGTTTGATGAATGTTCTTGCATACATATATTTTCTATATACAAATTACGGGGATGGGGCCAGCCGCCGAGCTGCATGGCAGCAGACTAACATGGCTCCCAGCCCAAACAAACTAAACTGGCTCTGAAACAACCACAGAAGGCACGAAGACCAGATTGTCCGCTGAATTAGGGAGGAGGATAACATCAGCTTTAAAAGGATACCAATTAGACCCAAAAAGCAGGCTGTAAGCACCGTAAAGGACTTTCAAGGCCTACCCACGGCCGCAAGACCAGACTCGGGTTACCATGAGTCGGTCAGATTACATGACGATCCTCCGCGCCTGGCAACAGACGCCTTAAAGAAAAACAAAAGCAACTAACTCTGGCAACGGACGCTGCTGGCTCGGGGCTGCGGCCCCACTCCCCCCCCGGCCGGGTAATCCGGCCCCATGGAGGCGACACGCGCCGAGATGAGAGTTCCCCGTGCTGGGCCCAGACTGCCCTCCTGAACGGACAAAGGCTGCCGAAAAGGAGCCCGCCAGTAAAAGAGCCGTGAAGACCATATTTATATACAGGCTCATTACGACGAAAGAACGTCATGATGGAGACTATTAACTGCTCCGGAAGGGCTGGCAAGTGCAACACATGTGGCCACGGATGACGCCGGCAACTAAATGTAATCCCCGACTACCTGCCCACCGAAGGAGTGACGGCCCGGACTTAGCTAGTCTGTGGGGGTCCTCGGGGAGTCCAGTCCCTGGTGCTGCGAGTCCTGTGGATCAGGGGGATGCAGGCCTTCCGGCAGACCGGTGTCCATGAGGGACACGCATCGCCCCTGTTAAGACACCTCCCGTGTCTTTAAGCCAAACCGCCGTTTAGTAGACCTTCCCCGGCTGCAGTACAGTCTCTGTTCGCTTACTCAGTAACCCACGAACCAAATGCAGGGGAAGCGGCAATCTCCCGATCGAAATCCACGAACGGCTCCAAACTCCCGAACGGCAATATACGAACTGCTAGGAACCGTCGAACAATAATATCCCCAAAGCGGCTTTCGTTCCATCCAGCAGTCTCTAAACGTGAAGAAGAAATCCCCCCAATAACGAGACAGAAGCTCCGCATTGAGGGTCAAATAAGATCTGGGTTTACTGTGGGCTACCTGCCCGTATTTATGCAGGTCTCCCACCTGGTGGACACTCCCCTAGGGGACCAGATGGAAGACTTAAAGTACAGACAGATAGAAGGACATTTCTGACACACAGTCACATATCTTACCCACAGTGCATTCTGATTCCCTCCCCTCTGTCCTGGAGTTAATTACCAAGTAACTCAATTAACTCCAGGACAAGGACAGTCGCCATTTTAAACATAAAATAATAAAAGACATAAAAATGCATAACTACATGAAAACTGAACATTTCCCATTCGTATTACATGTCCCCAGATAGCCTGGATCTGAGTGCATATTATTGGCGAATAGCGCTCAGATCCCACACACATAGTTCAATCGCCATGGAGTCAAAGTTCTTACAGTCCTTCGGTACACGAATGACTCCATGGGTGGGCTATCTGGGTTAAGTCTTTTGTGTGTTCTCAATCTCCCGAACGGCCGATGTTCGCATGCTTTCGTGGAGGCAGCCAGGCGTTCCCTTGTTTCAGCGGTGTTCGACAGAAAAAGTGTCCGTTTTCCGTTCCATAGAAATAGAGCCAAACACCGCTGAGCGTTCGCATGATTTAAAATGGCCGCTGCCTCGTGGTCGACATACGAACGACGACCACCCTGAGTTCGGTTTAATTGAGAAGTGTCTGCGGTTAACCACAACGTTATAATGGTGATCACTTCGTTAACCTGCAGCACACTCCTCACTTGGGTGGCCGTTCGTTCGGCAGATTTGTTCGGGAAAAAGAGTCATTCGAATGGCTGGGCTATAGAAACCAGCCATTCATACGAACGGGGACAAACAGACGAACGGGCAAAAATCCAGCAGACAGATGGTTCTGTCACACGGCTCCCTCCTTGTGGGACACTCCGGCAGACCCGGCTTGACCCTGTGGCGGGTCAACTTGGGGATGACCGGACTACGAGGTGATGGAAACGTCTGTTTGTCGTGACAACCCATCTGCATTTCCGTTTAGCTTACCGGGTCTGTAGCTGATGGTAAAATTGTAGGGCTGTAGGCCAAGCTCCATCTCAGCAGTCTCCCATTGTCTCCTGAGACCCGGTTAAGCCAAACGAGTGGGTTGTGATCAGTCACAAGGGAAAACTCTTGCCCATACAAGTAGGGACTTAACTTTTTCAATGCCCAGACCAAAGCCAAACACTCCTTCTCCACTGCCGCATAACTCACTTCTCTGGGTAGCAACTTTCTGCTGAGATATGCGACAGGGCCTAAGCAGGTCCTCCATCTTCCCCAACTTGGCTCAGCACAGCCCCCAGTCCATACATGGAAGCATCTGTATGGACGAGAAAGCGTTTGTTAGGGACTGGGGCAGCCAAGACAGGGGCATTCACAAGAGCCTGCTTCAGTGCCTGGAACGCAGCTTCACAAGCCGGAGACCACAGGACCTGCTTAGGCAAGTTTTTCTTTGTCAGGTCTGTCAGGGGCTTAGCGATAGCGCTGTAGTCAGGGACAAAACGTCTGTAGTACCCTGCTGTCCCCAAGAAGGCCAATACCTGGGTCTTAGTAGTAGGTGTGGGCCAGTTAGCCACTGCCTCTACCTTGGCTGGCTCCGGTCTCTGGCTCCCACACCCCACTCTGTGACCCAGGTACTGTACTTCAGCCATACCTAGATGACACTTTTCTGGCTTCAATGTCAGGCCAGCGGCCCTAATCTTATCCAGCACTACCCCTACATGTACCAGGTGTTCCTCTCAGGACCCACTGTAGATCGCAATGTCGTCCAAGTATGCACAGGCAAATTCTTGGAAGCCATCCAGGAGTCTATCCACCATCCGTTGGAAGGTAGCCGGTGCATTTTTCATCCCAAAAGGCATGACCTTAAATTGGTACAGGCCAAATGGGGTGACAAATGCCGACTTGGGGATAGCATCCTCGGTCAGGGGTATCTGCCAGTAGCCCTTACACAGGTCTATGGTGGTCAGATATCGCCCCCTGGCAATACGATCTAGTAATTCGTCTACCCGGGGCATTGGGTAGGCGTCAGTGGTGGTCCGCTCGTTGAGTCGCCTGTAGTCCACACAGAACCGGGTGGTCCCATCTTTCTTTGGCACCAGGACTACAGGTGAGGCCCAAGGGCTGTCGGAGTGCTCTATAACCCCAAGCTGGGTCATCTCCTGTATCTCCTTCCGCATTCCTTCACGGACTGCTTCAGGGATACGGTAGGGGGGCTGTCGCAACGGGGTCTGTCCGGGGGTCTCTACCTTATGCACAGCTAGGGTGGTATAACCTGGTTCCTGGGAGAACGTCGCCTGCTTCTCCCATAACAACTGCTGCGCCTGTACCCTTTCTGTGGGGTTCAACCGGTCCCCTAGCTGTACCAAGGTAGTAAGGTCAGTCTGGGAGTCCCTTTCTAATAGATCTGGAAGGGGTAAATTCTCAGAATCATCTGCAGCTGGGGCACACACTGCTGCAATATTCTCAGGTCTCTCCTGGTACTCTTTCAGCATGTTCACATGAAAGGACCGCTGGATCCTCTCATCTGCACAGCTGGCTGTCAAGTAAGTAGTGTCGCAGATCTGCGCCACTACCTTGTACGGGCCCTGCCAAGATGCTTGCATCTTGTTGGCCTTCACAGGTTTAAGCACCAATACCTTTTGCCCAACCTGGAAGGCCCGCTGTCGGGCACCCTGATCGTACCATCTCTTCTGTCTCCCCTGGGCCGCCTGGAGATTCTCCCTTACCATCAGGGACAGTTTCTCCATGCGGTCCCGGAGTTCCAGAACATATGGCACTATGGGGGTCCCCTCTTGCTCCGTCTCCCACTCCCAGTGGCCTCTAATGAGATCTAGGGGTCCGCGGACCCTTCTCCCATAGAGTAACTCAAAGGGGGAGAACCCAGTAGATTCTTGGGGCACCTCTCTATAAGAAAATAATAGATGTGGCAGGAATTTCTCCCAGTCTCTGCAAGTGTCTGCAAAGGTCCTCAGCATCTGTTTGAGGGTACCGTTAAAGCGCTCGCAGAGACCGTTAGTCTGTGGGTGGTAGGGTGAGCTAAGTAACGGCTTAATGCCACACACCTTCCACAGCTGCTGGGTGAGCACAGCGGTGGATTGGGTTCCCTGGTCGGAGAGGATCTCCTTAGGGAACCCGACCCTAGTAAAAATTCTAACCAGGGCATCAGCAACCGTCTCTGCCTCTATGTTAGACAGCGCTACTGCCTCTGGATAGCGGGTGGCATAGTCTACCACGGTAAGAACATACTTCTTACCGGATGGACTAGCCCTGGCCAGTGGACCCACAATGTCAACGGCTATGCGGGCAAAGGGCTCCCCTATAATAGGCATCGATAATAGCCTAGCCTTAGGGTGGTCCCCCCGCTTTCCTACCCGTTGACATGTGTCACACGTGCTGCAGTACATCCGCACAGCCTGGTTAAAGTTTGGCCAAAAGAAGTTCTGTGAGATCCTATAGGCTGTGCGGCGGGACCCTAGATGTCCAGCTAATGGAACATCATGCCCTATCCGCAGAATCTCCTGCCGGTACTTTGCAGGTACCACTAACTGGCGATTCGGCGGAGTGGCAACACTCTTCGGGGAAGGTTTAGGGATCCTATACAACCTGTCCCCCACCCACTCATACCGTTCCCCATCTATTCCTTCCTCCCCAGCATCTGCCCTGTCCTTGTATCTTTGGAGGGTCGGATCTGCCCGGGTTTCCCTCCCAAACTCCTCTGGGGAATCCCAGCTTAAGGGAACCTGATCTGGGGTACCAGTCGGGGAAGGAGATCTTACCTGGGTCTCGTCAGCAAGTGGGCTGGTTCCGGCAGCACGGGTCTGGGCACGGGTGGTCACTGGGTTCACATCTGCAGGGCCCATCGGAGCATAGGCTGAAACCAAAGGGGCCAAATCGTTTCCCAAAAGAACATCTGCGGGCAAGTCTTTCATCACCCCCACATCCACATGTCTAGCGCCCACTCCCCAATCCAAATGTACTCGGGCAACAGGTAAACGAAACACGGCACCCCCTGCTACCCTTACTGCCACAGTGTCCCCAGTGTGCTGATGCTCTGAGACCAAGTTCTTTTGGAGCAGTGTCATCGTGGCTCCTGTGTCTCTCAGCCCATTCACCACTCTGCCATTCAGTTTCACAGTTTGCCGATGTTGCTGGCGATTATCCTGGTGAGCTGCTTGCACTGGGTCTGCCTCGTGTAGAATGCCCCAAAATTCCTCCTGCTCTAGGCAGTGAGCAGCAGGCTGAGGTGGGCGCTGGTTTCCATTAACTGGTCTCCTCCAGGACTGAGCCTGGTTGGCACTGTTCAGTGGGCACTCAGGACGCTTGTGCCCCAACTGCTTGCACCCATAGCACCGGATGGGTTGGGAGTACTCCCGGGCATTAAATCGGGCTGGTTGCATATAATTGTTAGCTGGTGGTGCGGCTGGGGTACGGTGTACTGGGGGTTGGTAGACTGCAGGAGCGGGTGTTACTGCTGGTCGATACTCCAGTCTGGCAGGGGCTTTAGCAGCTGTACCATCCAACTTGCGGGCATCCGTGTATTCGTCTGCCAGACGGGCAGCCTCGGGTAGGGTAGAGGGTTTTCTGTCTCTGACCCATTCCCGGACCCCAGCAGGTAGTCTATCAAAACAGTGCTCCAGCAGGAACACTTGTAACACCTCCTCCCCAGTTACCGCTTGGCATCCAGCCATCCAGTGGGCTGCGGTACGATGGACTCTGCAGGCCCATTCCACATAAGAGTCCCCAACCAGCTTGTTGGTTTCTCTAAACCTCCGCCTGTACGCCTCTGGGGTCACTGCATACCTGGCTAAGAGCGCCTCTTTCACAGCCCGGTAGCTGGTGATCTCCTCCTCTGGGATGGCCCGAAAAGCTTCACTAGCCCGGCCAGATAATTTCCCAGAGAGGATGGTGACCCATTCATCTGCAGGTACCTGATGTAGCGCACACTGCCTTTCAAAGTCTGCCAAAAATCCATCAATCTCTCCCTCTGTTTCCACAAAATTTTTAAAGGCAGCAAAAGGTACCTTCTTTCTGGCAACCACATTATTGTCATACGGTACCTCTGCTGCTGCAGCTCCTCTTTCCCGGGCTGCCTGTTGTGCTGCAACTGCTGCCTGCACACGAACCACGATGTCAGCTGAGGGGTTGGGGCCAAAATGTGCCAGCCTTATTTGTACTGCCCGGTTGAATTGTATTTCCTCGGGTGTTAAATCCAAGGTGCTGGGCACGTTGACTCTTTCCATTCCGTTGCTGCATCCATCTCCATTAGCAAAGCAATAATCTCCCGTTTCTTTAAATTGCTTGCTGACCTTCCTCGGCGTTCCAATATGTCCTTAAGTGTAGCACGCCTTAATTCCTCGTACTGCATGACTTGTAGCTGACCTCCAATGCTGTAGGATTCATCCCGTCGCTTGCCACCAATTGTTAAGACACCTCCCGTGTCTTTAAGCCAAACCGCCGTTTAGTAAACCTTCCCCGGCTGCAGTACAGTCTCTGTTCGCTTACTCTGTAACCCACGAACCAAATGCAGGGGAAGCGGCAATCTCCCGATCGAAATCCACGAACGGCTCCAAACTCCCGAACGGCAATATACGAACTGCTAGGAACCGTCGAACAATAATATCCCCAAAGCGGCTTTCGTTCCATCCAGCAGTCTCTAAACGTGAAGAAGAAATCCCCCCAATAACGAGACAGAAGCTCCGCATTGAGGGTCAAATAAGATCTGGGTTTACTGTGGGCTACCTGCCCGTATTTATGCAGGTCTCCCACCTGGTGGACACTCCCCTAGGGGACCAGATGGAAGACTTAAAGTACAGACAGATAGAAGGACATTTCTGACACACAGTCACATATCTTACCCACAGTGCATTCTGATTCCCTCCCCTCTGTCCTGGAGTTAATTACCAAGTAACTCAATTAACTCCAGGACAAGGACAGTCGCCATTTTAAACATAAAATAATAAAAGACATAAAAATGCATAACTACATGAAAACTGAACATTTCCCATTCGTATTACATGTCCCCAGATAGCCTGGATCTGAGTGCATATTATTGGCGAATAGCGCTCAGATCCCACACACATAGTTCAATCGCCATGGAGTCAAAGTTCTTACAGTCCTTCGGTATACGAATGACTCCATGGGTGGGCTATCTGGGTTAAGTCTTTTGTATGCTCTCAATCTCCCGAACAGCCGGTGTTCGCATGCTTTCGTGGAGGCAGCCAGGCGTTCCCTTGTTTCAGCGGTGTTCGACAGAAAAAGTGTCCGTTTTCCGTTCCATAGAAATAGAGCCAAACACCGCTGAGCGTTCGCATGATTTAAAATGGCCGCTGCCTCGTGGTCGACATACGAACGACGACCACCCTGAGTTCGGTTTAATTGAGAAGTGTCTGCGGTTAACCACAACGTTATAATGGTGATCACTTCGTTAACCTGCAGCACACTCCTCACTTGGGTGGCCGTTCGTTCGGCAGATTTGTTCGGGGAAAAAGAGTCATTCGAATGGCTGGGCTATAGAAACCAGCCATTCATACGAACGGGGACAAACAGACGAACGGCAAAAATCCAGCAGACAGATGGTTCTGTCACAGCCCCCAAATGTGTGGCTGGCGCCGGGAGGGACAGGGGCCTACACTCCACGGAAGCTTGAGAGGTGCTGGGGAGGTGTAGGGGACAGGGGGCACTCAGACCCTAGGTGTGGGGGTCCTGTGGTCGGTCTCTGGCCCTAAGTGCCCAAAGGGCCACGGAGAGCCCTGTTGATGGACAGTGCCTTGTCTGGGGAGGACAGATGGAAACCCAGCGCACTGGAGTCCTATTGTTGCTGTGCCATGAACGGCCCGGATTGGACCATTATCAAGTCCCCAGTTATGGTCATAAAGCTTGTACCTTACCGACCCTTATTTTTATACTTCTAAATTTGTATATATTTCATATGCCCTTATAAGTTTTCTTTATAACTCTGCATCTTACCACTGCCAGTTTTGGACCATGTAGTAATGATCTTTAACTTGGTACATAGCTATTAGCCAACCTGTATGCATATAGTAGATGATGATTGTAGTGGATCGGCAATATCAAATCCCACGAATTCCGCTGGTACATACAGTAATCCACAGTCAGCGCTGAAAAGCAAGGCAATATCCCAAATCCCCCAGTAACCGGACGAAACACAGTTCTGGGAGTCAACTGAGGTCTTTTTCACAGCAGCCAGTATTTATACAATTCCCCATGCAAGGGGTTTCCTGAGTCACATCACAGGGGTATTACAGGAGTGGACTACATGGGAAACTTAATGTACATTTCTCCCATCAGACACTGCTGCACTAGAGGGATCCTCCCACTGGAATGTACCGTTAAGTGGATTATCCCTCCGTGCAGCAGAACTGGCATTTCACATTAAAATGTATAACTTTCTTAATATTGGGTTGATTTACACGAATGGACGTTCGGTAGATAGCTCGGGTCTGAGCACATAGTTTGTGAGATTACCGCTCAGATCCCAGCTAAAACAACCGAACGCCGCACGAAAAACCTATTCATCAAAACATACGTTCAAAAGACCGATTGGCATGCGGGGAGTAAAATACCGAAAAGCCTGGAACTCCCGAACGGCCTGGAAGTCCAGCGGTGTTCGCGCCATCGAGTAGCCATTTTCAGTACCATGCGCTCGACGACCGAACACCGCTGGAGGAACAAAGGATCCAAGATGGCCGACCGCCGCGTGTTCGGTAGTCGAACCTAGGAGAGCCTCTAATTACCGATCGCAAAATTGTTGCAATCGGTTAACAAGCGCCACACGTCTCTTAGTGTGTGGGCTATTGCAGGATAGTTTATCCACAAAGGCGCTGTTCGTGAAACGAATTGAAATACAGCTATCTGCTTTCGGCAGATAGACAATACAGGCAATGCAATCATACGGTTTACAGCACATTACAACCAGGTACATATAACGTTATAAGAAATATACAGGCAACCCTTAAAGCCATAGTCTCTCTGTATTGTCCAAGTGGCTAGGTTTGCCACAATGCTCCCCCAGAACCAAGCCGGCATACACAGTCTGATCCCAACGGATCGGCTTGGGGATGTCCGGAGGAGGGCTCACAGATTACTTCTCAAGGTCAGTCTGTCTAGATAACCCGTCGGCATTACCATTTTGTTTCCCAGGGCGATAATGGATTGTAAAGTCAAAAGGCTGCAGCGCCAAACTCCAGCGCAGCAGCCTGGCGTTGTCTCCAGCCACACGGTTTAGCCACACCAACGGGTTGTGATCTGTGAGCAAAGAAAAGGGTTGCCCATAGAGATATGGTTGTAACTTTTTCAGGGCCCACAGCACGGCCAGGCATTCTTTCTCAATAGCGGCGTAGCTCACATCTCGGGGTAACAACTTCCGGCTTAAATAAGCTACAGGGTGTTCTCCGCCATCGGCTCCAACTTGGCTCAGTACTGCTCCCAATCCAAACATTGAAGCATCTGTGTGGACAAGAAAGCGTTTAGTTGGATCAGGAGCAGCAAGTACAGGTGCATTAGTTAGAGCCGTCTTAAGTTGGGTAAATGCCTGTTCACACTCTGGGGCCCAGATGACCTGTCGGGGTAAGTTCTTGCGAGCCAGGTCTGTCAGGGGTTTGGCCAGGGCACTGTAATTGGGCACGAATTTTCTGTAGTACCCTGCGGTACCCAAGAAGGCGAGTACTTGGGTCTTGGTGCTAGGGGTGGGCCACATAGCTACGGCTTCAATTTTCGCTGGCTCAGGTTTTTGTTGCCCACTTCCTATCCGGTGGCCCATTGCAATTAGAGTGTGCAGACTTTGTATTAATGTTACATACCTCCTCTGTTCTGATATTACCCACCCCCCTCGTGCTGAGCCCCTTTCATTTCTGTCCTGTCTCCATTCTGTAGGTTTCTATGTCCCTCCCCCCACCACTACTTAAAATCTCCTCTAACCTTCTAGCCATCCTGCCCCCCAGCACTGCAGACCCTCTCCTATTTAGGTTCTATCTATCACGGCTATAAAGATTGTACCCAGCCCAGTGCCCCAATAATGCCCAAACCCTCCTTCCTGCACCAAGACCCCTCTAATCTCCCCCTGCACGGCACAGGTAATATCTCAGAATACCACCTTGGGGTATTGTGTATTGTACGGCAGTCTCTGTATTATACCCAGCTCTGTGTATTGTATGGCGGGCTCTGTATTGTATCCAGCTCTGTGTATTGTATGGCAGTCTCTGTATTGCACCCAGCTCTGTGTATTGTATGGCAGTCTCTGTATTGTACCCAGCTCTGTGTATTGTATGGCAGGCTCTGTATTGTACCAGCTCTGTGTATTGTATGGCAGTCTCTGTATTTTACCCAGCTCTGTGTATTGTATGGCAGTCTCTGTATTGTACCTAGCTCTGTGTATTGTATGGCAGTCTCTGTATTGTACCTAGCTCTGTGTATTGTATGGCAGGCTCTGTATTGTATCAAGCTCTCTGTATTGTATGGCAGGCTCTGTATTGTACCCAGCTCTGTGTATTGTATGGCAGTCTCTGTATTGTACCCAGCTCTGTCTATTGTATGGCAGTCTCTGTATCGTACCAGCTCTGTGTATTGTATGGCAGGCTCTGTATTGTACCCAGCTCTGTGTATTGTATGGCAGACTCTGTATTGTACCCAGCTCTGTGTATTGTATGGCAGGCTCTGTATTGTACCCAGTTCTGTGTATTGTATGGCAGACTCTGTATTGTACCCAGCTCTATGTATTGTATGGCAGGCTCTGTATTGTACCCAGCTCTGTGTATTGTATGGCAGTCTCTGTATTGTACCCAGCTTTGTGTATTGTATGGCAGGTTCTGTATTGTACCAGCTCTGTGTATTGTATGGCAGGCTATGTATTGTACCCAACTCTGTGTATTGTATGGCAGCCTCTGTATTGTACCCAGCTCTGTGTATTGTATGGCAGTCTCTGTATTGTATCAAGCTCTGTGTATTGTATGGCAGGCTCTGTATTGTACCTAGCTCTGTGTATTGTATGGCAGTCTCTGTATTGTACCCAGCTCTGTGTATTGTATGGCAGGCTCTGTATTGTACCCAGCTCTGAGTATTGTATGGCAGGCTCTGTATTGTACCCAGCTCTGTGCATTGTATGACAGGCTCTGTATTGTACCCAGCTCTGTGTATTGTATGGCAGACTCTGTATTGTACCCAGCTATGTGTATTGTACCCAGCTCTGTGTATTGTATGGCAGGCTCTGTATTGTTCCTGCTCTGTGTATTGTATGGCAGGCTCTGTATTGTATCCAGCTCTGTGTATTGTATGGCAGGCTCTGTATTGTACCCAGCTCTGAGTATTGTATGGCAGGCTCTGTATTGTACCCAGCTCTGTGTATTGTATGGCAGGCTCTGTATTGTACCCAGCTCTGTGTATTGTATGGCAGTCTCTGTATTGTATCCAGCTCTGTGTATTGTATGGCAGTCTCTGTATTGTACCCAGCTCTGTGTATTGTATGGCAGGCTCTCTATTGTACCCAGCTCGGTGTATTGTATGGCAGTCTCTGTATTGTATCCAGCTCTGTGTATTGTATGGCAGGCTCTGTATTTTACCCAGCTCTGTGTATTGTATGGCAGTCTCTGTATTGTATCCAGCTCTGTGTATTGTATGGCAGGCTCTGTATTGTACCCAGCTCTGTGTATTGTATGGCAGTCTCTGTATTGTACCCAGCTCTGTGTATTGTATGGCCGTCTCTGTATTGTACCCAGCTCTGTGTATTGTATGGCAGTCTTGTGATGGAATTCCAGTAAAATAAAAGTTTAGCAGGCCAAGATTGCCACAAGGCATATGTAGGTACATGTGTTTGTAGTATCAGTTAGTTATTTACACGTAGCTAAGATACTGTCATCACTGTACTGAGCATGTGCAGGAATGCAGGAACTGGAATTTGTTTCAGATGAGCCACGTGGTTAGACCGAATGGATGAGTTTAGACTCTATTCATTGATTAGGTTAAGGGTATGTGTGGGCGTAGCTAATTATGGGAGGAGCTACAGTGCTATATAAGGAATGTACTCTATGTATTCAGTGCTCAGAATTTTGGAACAGGAGTTCACCTGAGTCCCGGTCGGTGAATCGAATAAAGATCTCTTCCTTCCTGAAGAAACCTGTGTCCATCTCTCTGTGTGTAGATGCGAATATCCATTATGCTCAATATCCTAGCTGTTCATATAAGGGTTAATTTGAACCAAGAATAAATTTGGAATTGTATCTCCAATTCTCGGAAATAAAACTTATCTATTTACGGGAAATGTTATTGGAACATGATTTTGGATATCTACATGACATGACATGACATGATAAGGATTCTCGAATGACCTTGTTAATTGTCCAAGATGTTGGTATTTGTAATCATCTGGGTTTTATCCAATATGCATACATTATGTAACATTGAATTATAACTAAAAACAGCTGTTTATAACTTGTGAAAAACAATGTCATTGTCACGCCCATATGCTCATTTTTCCCCCTCCCATCCTGCTATGAAAATGGGGTATAAATATAACTGACGTATGAATACAATTTGAATTGGTTATCGAACATGTCTTTGCTATTCATTTCCAATTTCCAGAGCTCTGTATGAGTTGGCAAATATCCATCATCCACAAAGGGCCCGGGCTGATTTTATCCCCAACACTGTGCTTGGCCTCAATCAGTTTCCCGGTAACATATTTGGTGCATTGGCCGGGAAGCTTGTCGTTAATGGTGGCTAGGAAGCAGAGGCGTGAGACGGTCTATCTTTGCCCACGTTCTCTACGGCTGCACCCCTGAACTTCTGCGTGGACCTCCCTTCGTCTCGGCGCCACTGGTCTGTTGTCCAGGAGATCATCGGCCTCTACGTAGTAAGTACTGGGGTGTCCCCGTCGATGAGTGTGAACTCAGGTTCAGGAACGAGGAGGTAAGACGACTACTGTTTTTGACGGTGGACCCACTAGGGGTGTTAGATACCGATTGTGCGGTAGGCCCATTAGGGGTTTGAATTGGAATTGTGTATGGAATTGGTCCCCTTCAGTGGAGGGAAGGAGCGAAGGTGCACCGCTCATAATAAGACGCCCTGTAGTCAGCCCGTCTAATCTTGGTATGGAGTCAGGCTGGGTCTTGGTTGAATGTATATAGCCCAGGCCGGACACCGGTGTCTTGTCTAGACTAGCGTATCTAGGGTGTACATTTCGTTCACTAGGTCGGAGGGACCGGGAGACTAAGCAGACTCTGGTGTACATTATCATTTGCTAGTTCTCAACCTATCTTGGCTAAGTGGGAAGGCGTGTAAATTTGGAACCCACTAGACTACTGATAGAGTAGATAGACTAAAAGGGTATTGTTGTAAATTCCGCCCTCTAGTTCGCTATATGTGGTGCTTGGGCAGCGACGGCTAACCAAAACGGATGTAAATAGTTTTAGGTAGTCCCTCGAGGTACTGTCCAATAGATTAGTTGGGAAACTGTAAATGTGTTAAAATTTATTATAGTAGAGTATATATCTTGCTGGATAGCGTGAGCTCTGCCGTCTAGCGAGAGTATGAATAGTGTGTAACTGTATCATAGCGCACGGTACCATAACCATGTATTATAATCACTGATACTGTAAATAATCACTAATAACTGTCGTTTATGTTTTATGTTTAACACCATAACTACTATTAACTGACCTGTGACTTTAAAATTGTATTCTAACCAATGCTAACCGTACTATAACTACTGTTTGTAAAGACGATGTTACTAGGGTGTGATATAGACGGGTAATTTAAATACTGAGAATTATAGCGTGGGTAATTGTATAATTTCGCCAAAAAAGGTACAGTAATAGTTATTTAGTGTGTGGTGTAACAGTTGTGTGTGTACGGGAATTCCCTGTATGATTTGTTGTGTGCGTTTGGCCTAGTAACTGTGCCACGTGGTGCTGTTGCCAAGCGAAATGGGTGTGACTGTTGGAAGTGTGTTTTGTTTTGTTTCTATTGGAGACGACGCTCCATTGTTAAGTATGGGTGCGTTGGATTCAAAGATCGTTGATCCCTTAGATTGCATGTTAAAGAATTTTAAAAAGGGATATAATGTATGTGATTTTGGGGTAAAGATGTCTCCAACACGTTTGACTACTTTATGTAGCAGGGAATGGCCTGCCTTAGTGGTTGCATGGCCTCCACGTGGTAGTCTTGATCCTAATCTAGTGCAGCGTGTACACGTAGCTGTATCTGGTAGGCCGGAACTTTACGACCAGTTTCCATATATTGATTGTTGGAAACAGGCCGTGGATGACTTGCCAAAATGGATCAGGGTGTGCCAAGAGGAGCAATGCCGCCTCCTGTTGGCCAGAACTCGTTTGTCCACCAAGGCCGTGATCACGCCCATTCTGGACACGCCCCCTGAGTCATAGATTCCTTTACCTCCCCCTTACTCCTCCTCTACAGGAAGAGGAGGTGCGGCTAGTAATGCCACTCCCCTTGCCCCATTGTCTCCTCCTACCCCATCCTCTAGCTCAGAGCCCAGCCCACTTGTTCTAAACCCTCCCCTTCCGGTACCTTTCAGGGCAATTTCTCACATAAAATCCCAGTTACAAACAGCAGTTTAACACCAGTTTTATGCAATAGCTGCACAGTTATATATTTTAATATATTTTATTGTCTTTTTGCTACCATGTGGCTAATGGAGTTTTGCCTCTGTCCTAGGATTACTCCCCAATTATCTCCAAGATAGAGAGGAGGGATTGTTGTAGCAGAACCCCTTTGGCTGTCCAAACTATTTCCTTTTTTATGGTTGGCACTTAAGAGTTTTCCCTGTGCCTGGATTACACAGAATCACCTACCACCCTCGGTGGCTACAGTATGTTCGGTATAAAGATGTAACAGCTTACCTGTGAACGGCTATATTCACCATACGAACTAAACTACCGAACAACCGGACCACCCTGGTGTGAAGGGTGGCTGTAATTTACCTCCCTGATTGCTTGTTACATTCCCTTGAACGCACAAACAGTCTGTTGTATTCCCTGGGTAGCCGCCATTTCGGCAGCCAAACACGTGGCGGCGGCCATCTTAAACCCGTGAACAGCGGTGTTTGGTCACCGAGTGTCTGGAACTCAAAACGGACACTCGACTAACCGAACACCGCTAAGACCTCCTGGGCTTCAGAACGGCCCGTCGTTCGGTAGGATGAATCCCACAAACTAGGGGATTCATCCGGTTACAAACCTAACTATGGATGGCATAACATTTCGGGACTTTTGAGGCACAAACAGAGACCGACCGCAAGGCCAGATCTCATGGAACTATTTTCGGCTACTTTACCCATGTGGTCTGTCAAATCTTTACCTTCTCATAACTCCCGAACCCCTGATCTGATCTGGGTGATTTTTGGATATGTTCCTCACCCAGATCAGGGCTACCAGGGGGTACCATATTTAAAGGTGTATCCCCTATATATGGGGTACATCCAAGAATTGGGGAAAAGTATGCACTGTATAATTATGTTAACTGTTAATCTAAGGGGAGGAGATGTGGGGGAGATATGAGATTGGTTACTGTACTAATTATGGTGAATCCCTCCCTAGCATGGGAGAATCTCATAAAAGCAGGAATGTTGCCATTAAACTTCAGTTCTACTCCTGATACTGTGTGTCGTCCAGTGATTGGGAAACGTGATGGGATACTGTTGGATTTTATTGCTGATTGTGCTGGTTACCCTCTTGGATTTACTTCTTGTTCCTGCATTCTTTTAATATCCCATTGGAGTTAAGCTGAGGGAAATCAGCTCTCCGCTACAATTGTGATGTATTGTGGGAGTGTTTTAACCCTGTATGTCCGTGATTGGTCAGTGTATGTTTTGTGTCCCAGTCTTCCATCTGGTCCCCTAGGGGAGTGTCCACCAGGTGGAAGACCTGCATAAATACCAGGCAGCTAGCCCACATTAAACCAGATCACTGCTTGACCCTCAACACTAAGCCTTGTCTCGTTCTTTGGGGGATTTATTGTATGCTGTTCCAGTTCGATTGCTAGGAGTGTAACCCTTTCGTATGGTTTTTCCTGTTCGGCAGTTTACAGCATTCGTATGGTTCCGGTTTGGGAGTTGGAGCATTTGTATGGTTTCCAGTTCGGGAGATTGGTGTATGGAGTAGCTGCCTTTTTGTCTGGAAGGGAATATCCTCTAAACAGCTTTTAACCCCTTTTATGCCTGGGGGTGCCGTTACACTGTGTGGTTTGATTCTTTAACTATTCTCAGCAGCTGGAGAGTTAAATGGCACAAATGAAATCCATGTAATCAGGTAATAATGCAGCCAGGAAGCAGGTCTGAAGACTGCTACTGGAATCCCCGAATAAATGAAATAGGACACACAGTTCCCAAAAGAAGTACCACACAATACTTTTTTTGGAACAAGGACTAGTAATTTGGTGAATTGTCCTTAATGAAGTGGTATTGGTGCCAGGTGCCCCTAGTATTAAGCCTGTGGCTGAAAATATAGCAGTTTCAGAGAAACTGTTATGTTTACATTGCAGGGTTAATCCAGCCTCTAGTGGCTGTCTCCCTAGCAGCCACTATAGGCCGATTCTGCGATTCTCAGTGTGAAAATCGCATTGAACTTCCGCAGCGTATGTTCCGATACCCATAGCAAAACATTGAGTAATGCTTTCCTATCAGCGGTTTGAATGCGCATTCGGCTTCACTCGGGAGCTGACGTTGGCAGGGGGAGGAAAGGTCACCAGCACCGAGGGAGCCCTGCATTGGATTAAGGTAAGTAGCTGAAGGGGTTTGAACGGGCCACGAGGGGAGGTGGGGGACACACACCTAGTAACCTTTAATGCCAGGAATACAGTTTTGTTTTCCTCCTTTAATAAACAAATAAACAGAAAAATGGGAAATAAGCAATTCTAACAATACATCAAATATATATTACAAGTAATTCTTTGAAACTCATTAAAGTGTGTATATAGATGGAGTTGCACTAAACTACACGTCAGCATTATGTCAATTTGCACATTTTCATTCAGTTAACAGGAGATACTTACAAGTTATCACAATAGCAATGCATCATTTGAACATGGACTGCTACGATGACATTTGGAACAATCAAAACATTACTCAATTTATCTCCTGTGTGAGTTCTCTGATGACTAACAAGGTGTACATGCTGGCTAAAACATTTCACACATTCAGAACAAGATAAAGGTTTCTCTCCTGTGAGAATTATTTGATGCATAACAAGCTCTCTTTACTGACAACACATTTTCCACATTCAGAACATGAAAAGGGTTTTTTTCTGTGGGAGTTCTCTGATGTCTAACAAGCTCTCTTTTCAGACAAAACATTTTCAACATTCAGAATGTGAGAAAGGTTTCTCCCCTGTGTGAGTTCACTGTTTCAAGGCTTGCTTTACTGACTTAACATTTTCCACATAGCAACCAAGCAATTTGGTGGGAAGAAGCAGAACAGTTACTTTCAGATGCCATAGTCTGAGGAGATGGGTTTTGAGGGACTTGATCTTCCAGAAATGTTTTCATATGGCTTTGGCTGCAACACTTGTTAGCTCTGAGTCCTGAGTGAAACTTATGAATGCTGTTGTTTGAGTCACAAACCGAGTCTGGGGTTAGATAAATCAAACTATGGGTGAAGAGGCATGGATACATTAGGTGAGAAAATTGAACCAATCAATGGGAGAGATTAGATAGGTGAAACTAATAAATGTGGAACATCAATTAACCAGACAATATGTGCAATCATTCTAACACTATCAAACTTAAACAAACATTAAAAAATGCAAGAGTTGTGCATGGAAGGTACAGAAGTTTTCAAATTTAACAGTAATATCACAGGGGAGGAAAGTAAAGAGCTGCTCTGTAGGATTAACACAATCACAATGCCGATGCATCATTTACACATTGCTACTGTCACAGGTATTATTTGTGTCAGAATAATAATAAACAGTATTAGTTTTAATCCCACGTTAATTCATTAACACATCATAAAAACTCTGTGTGAGTTCTCTGATGTCTAATAAGACTTGAGTGAAAACTAAAACATTTCCCACATTCACAACATGAGAAAGGTTTCTCTCCTGTGTGAGTTCTCTGGTGTGTAACAATATGTGTATGCCTGCTGAAACATTTCCCACACTCAGCACATAAGAAAGGTTTCTCTCCTGTGTGAGTTTTCTGGTGTGAAACAAGGTTTACATACCTGTTGAAACATTTTCCACATTCAGCACATGAGAAAGGTTTCTCTCCTGTGTGAATTCGTTGATGATTCACTAAAGTTGAGTTACAGCTAAAACATTTCCCACATTCAGAACATGAGAAAGGTTTCGCTCCTGTGTGAGTTTGTTGATGTTTCACTAAAGTTGAGTTACAGCTAAAACATTTCCCACATTCAGAACATGAGAAAGGTTTCGCTCCTGTGTGAGTTTGTTGATGTTTCACTAAAGTTGAGTTACAGCTAAAACATTTCCCACATTCAGAACATGAGAAAGGTTTCGCTCCTGTGTGAGTTTGTTGATGTTTCACTAAAGTTGAGTTACAGCTAAAACATTTCCCACATTCAGAACATGAGAAAGGTTTCTCTCCTGTGTGAGTTTGTTGATGTCTTACCATGTGCGACTGCGAGCGAAAACATTTCCCACATTCAGAACATGAAAAAGGTTTCTCTCCTGTGTGAGTTTGATGATGTCTTACAATGTCCGACTGCGAGCGAAAACATTTCCCACATTCAGAACAAGAGAAAGGTTTCTCTCCTGTGTGAGTTCTCTGATGTGAAACAAGGTTTGAATGGCTGTTAAAACATTTCCCACATTCAGCACATGAGAAAGGTTTCTCTCCCGTGTGAAATCTTTGATGTTTCACTAAACTTGAGTTACAGGTAAACCCTTTCCCACATTCAGAACATGAGAAAGGTTTCTCTCCTGTGTGAGTTCGTTGATGTCTAACTAGAGCTGATTTATCGCTAAAACATTTCCTACATTCAGAACATGAGAAAGGTTTCTCTCCTGTGTGAGTTCTCTGGTGTTTAACTAGACTCGTGTTAAGACTAAAGCATTTCCCACATTCAGAACATGAGAAAGGTTTCTCTCCTGTGTGAGTTCTCCAATGGTTAACTAGATCAGAGTTACTCATAAAACATTTCCCACATTCAGAACATGTGAAACGATTTTCTCCTGTGTGAGTTCTCTGGTGTGAAACAAGAGTAGAGTTATAGCTAAAACATTTCCCACATTCAAAACATGAGAAAGGTTTCTCTCCTGTGTGAGTTCTCTGGTGTGAAACAAGAGAAGAGTTATAGCTAAAACATTTCCCACATTCAGAACATGAGAAAGGTTTCTCTCCTGTGTGAATTATTTGATGTTTTACTAAACTTGAGTTATAGCTAAAACATTTTCCACATTCAGCACATGAGAAAGGTTTTTCTCCTGTGTGAGTTCTCCAATGACTATCAAGAGTTTCTTTCTTACTAAAAGATTTCCCACATTCAGCACATGAGAAAGGTTTCTCTCCTGTGTGAGTTCTCCAATGACTATCAAGAGTTTCTTTAACACTAAAACATTTCCCACATTCAGCACATGAGAAAGGTTTCTCTCCTGTGTGAGTTCTCTCATGTCTTACAGTGTGTGACTGTGAGCTAAAACATTTCCCACATTTAGAACATGAGAAAGGTTTCTCTCCTGTGTGAGTTCGCTGGTGTGAAATAAGGTTTGCATGCCTGTTGAAACATTTCCCGCATTCAGAACATGAGAAAGGTTTCTCTCCTGTGTGAGTTCTCTGGTGTGAAATGAGGTTTGCATGCCTGTTGAAACATTTCCCACATTCAGAACAGGAGAAAGATTGTATGTTTACTATCTTCTTTGAAGACATATAGGATTCTGAAAGATTGCTTGAGTTTGGAGAGTTGGAATCTTTGGTCTTTTTATTAAAATATTTTATCGTCTTGCTTCATGTTTTTCTGTTGTCCTCTCCTTTAGAAAAATTTCTGCTGCTGGAAATATCTGAAACAGAATGTACTGGGAGTTATAGAAAAATCTGTCTATAAATGATTGTTTACCATACTAAGAAAAACGGACTATTTTCATGAAACATTAGAAATATGACTATGAAACATTATGGTGATTAAGTAATACCTTAAAAAATATGTATGCGCTAATTCCTATTACAATATAAAAATTGCATTTGCACACTTTTATTCACTTGACAAAATGTAAAATGACACTACGCATCACAAACACCAGGAAAATCATAACATTGCCTGGTTGGTTCCCAGACAAGCCAAGTTCTGATAAAAGACGCTCCTGAACAAGGGGAACATTCACTTCATATAAGCCAGAGGGAGAAGACGTTGCTTATGTTGATACAGGAACTCCACACAGTGGACCGGCCACCAACTTCTTTCCCCGGTGGCGATTCAGCTACACTACACAGATTCGAGTAATATCTGCACTACTTGGGCATTTGAATCTGAGCTATCTGGGAATATAATATGGGTGTAGATTTCTTCTCTTACATCTACTCACTGCCTGACCAAACTGATTAGAATGTGACTATGTAAATATACTGATTAGAGTGAACACATCTCTTACATATAGAAAACAATGCGTTTGGAAGGGGGGGTGAAACTATATATCTATGTATCTATACTAACCATATAATTATGTTATTTTAATCATTTGAATATATTCATAGAGAGAACCTAATGAATAGATCACATTATTATTAAAACTAACATTCGCTGAATGTGTGTAAAAGACATGGATAAATCATATGTTATGACATATTACTAATATAGCAGACTCATTACCCTCTCCGTTCGGTTGTCGGTACCCTCCTTTCATTTGTTTCCCAAATGAAGACGAGTTCCCCTTTTTGATGGACAATTTGGAGTCCTGTCTCTTACTGAGGGGAATCTGCTACAAGGGATTGCTATGCTCTGCATATTGATGGCTTCCTAGCCTTGGGAAAACCAGCACTACTTCAGAGATGGAAGGCCGTGCAGTATCTCACTTTGACGCCAGGTTTCAGCAGCGACTACAGGATGTGATGAACAGTATGGAGTATCCTATCCCAGAGGAAAGAGAGACAGAGTGGAGGGTGGCGCTTCATACCGATCTCTGGAAGGAGGACATTGACAAAATTCGACCCTTCCGGTGCGAGGAAATCCTGACCACTAACCAGCACCAAGCAGAACAACTAGAGCTGCGGATGCCGTTATTGGAAAACCAGCCCTCAGAGGAATGGGTAAGCGAACTGGAGACGCTAGTTGAGACTGAGGTGTGGCTGGATGATTCCTTACCACCTCTACCCATGGCTGATCGAGTACAAGTGTATTGAGGGGGAAGACTACGATGGCCCTGGTTTGTTGTGGGATACTATTGAAACTAGTCTCTGGTTCGGAGACACCGACATTGCTCGCTTTTGGTCCATCCGAGCTGAGCGGGCAGACAACTGGGACCTTACAGAGATCGATGCCATTCAGCCAGATCTTTCTTTTCTTGTCAACCGAGAGTGGGTACTAGAACAGGATTATGTTTGCCTATTCCAACGTATAACGCCGCCTGTCTCTGACATGATGGGGCTTATTGACTGTATACCACCGGTGGCATTGCGTTTAGTTCCTCCTCTCCAGCAACCAAGCCTGTTATCAGGGGACATATGTCCCAACCAGCCCAGAGATGGAAGACCTTATTGACTTGTCCTGGGAAGACACCCAGCTGGCAGGTGGAGATGGGACCGAGGTCTCTCTACAGGCCCTACAGGGATGCTGGGCAGTCGGCACAGATCCCCAGCAGCAGTATGTATCCCAGGGAACTGAAGGTGCCGTCCTTCCTCCCCAGCGGCAGTGTGTGTCCTTAGGAGAGGAGACAGTTGGTCCCTCTCCCCAGCAGTTCAGTGAGTTACAGGGAGATGAGGGTGCCGTCCTTCCCCCCCAGCGGCAGTATGTTTCCCAGGGAGCGGAAGGTGCCGTCCTTCCTCCCCAGCGGCAGTGTGTGTCCTTAGGAGAGGAGACAGTTGGTCCCTCTCCCCAGCAGTTCAGTGAGTTACAGGGAGATGAGGGTGCCGTCCTTCCCCCCCAGCGGCAGTATGTTTCCCAGGGAGCGGAAGGTGCCGTCCTTCCTCTCCAGCGGCAGTGTGTGTCCTTAGGAGAGGAGACAGTTGGTCCCTCTCCCCAGCAGTTCAGTGAGTTACAGGGAAATAAAGGTGCCATCCTTCCCCCCCAGCGGCAGTATGTTTCCCAGGGAAGGACTGCTGGGTGTGCTCTATTGTCATCTTGTGTATGATTGGTTGCTGTAACTGTATTGTCTGTGCCCCACAAGGTCCAGTGGGTGGTGTCTAACCTGTAAAATCCTGCATAAAAGCAGCAATAAACGCTCAGTGAAGTCAGTTCTTTTTTGACCCTCAACACATAGTCTTGTCTCGTGATTGGAGGGGACAGCTATACTCACACTGGGGATTGCTATGCTCTGCATACTCCCCTGAGCTTTAATCACTAAGCTCTTTTAAGAGCTTGTTCCTGATACGCTCTCCTGGTCTTCCCCACACGGTCCTGGAGGACAGAAGCTGATCCAGGGTGGACAGAAGATGGCGAGACTCCAGTTAAGCTACGGCGGTTGTGGAGTCTTCGGTGGTTGTGGTGTCTGGTGCGGTGCTTGTGGTCCTCGGCGCAAGCTAGGAAGCGTCCATCAACGGAAGGTACTCGGTCGGAGTACGGGGAGTTCCATTACAGTACCCATCCTGTCCAATCAAGTATTCATATAGAGCGATTGTTTGTCTCGTCTGTACAAAGGCATTCCAAAGGGAAATTATGAAAAATTTCATAAAATATAAGCAAAGCTGAGAGAACTACATGTCACACCAGTTAAGGATTTCATTTTAGTCTCTAATTTTACTTTTAGCCTACCGTATTTTTTGGCGTATAAGACTACTTTTTAACACAGGAAAATCTTCTCAAAAGTCGGGGGTCGTCTCATACACTGGGTATCGTTTTCCGAGCCGGACTGGAGAATCTGCGGTCGCTGCATATGGTGGGGAAAGCTCAAAAACGGCCACATCTCTGCCGTCTGCAATATTTAATTTGTACCTACCCGATCGTCATCGTTCCCCTGGCGGTGATCGGCATTGCTCCCGGTGTGGGGAGACTGCCTGCAGCCCAGACAGTCTCCCCATGGCGGATTAGGACCCCTGGGACCATGTGATCACTCAGAGTGATCACATGGTCACAATAGGTGTCCTAGTGTCTGCCTGCAGCGGGACTGCCTGTGCTGACAGGCAGTCTCCACGCTTGTGTAAAAAAAAAAACATGAATGTTAATGTTAATTAAAAAACCAACAACAATGATATATGTGTGTATGTATGTATATATATAAATATATATAGACCTTTATTATATCTATATACTATGTCTATATATCATATATATATATAATGTCATACTAAGTGTATTTTTATATTAATATATACATATATTAATATAAAAATACACTTATAATTAAATTACACACATATATATTAAATAAATATATATATATTTGTATTCGGGGCCATTTCAGTATAGTATGAAATAGCTAGTGAGTATACTTATCATAATAATTAAAAGTCGGTAGAGGTGTGCCGAAACCGACGTGTGTGGTAGGCCTGTAAATAAGAGGGCCCACCTTAAATAGTATTTGAATAGAGGGAGAGGAGGGTGGGTCAAACGAGCATCTGGACCAGACGGTGAATGAGGTAGGAGGGGGAGTCCCTTTTAAAGGGATATAGCCCCTCCCACAACTTCAGGCCCTGCCTTCCAATTTGTATTCGGGGCCATTTCAGTATAGTATGAAATAGCTAGTGAGTATACTTATCATAATAATTAAAAGTCGGTAGAGGTGTGCCGAAACCGACGTGTGTGGTAGGCCTGTAAATAAGAGGGCAAAAAGGAATACCCATATAATGTTATCAAAGATATTTATTAACGAAACCACAAGACATGGAGTTAGCATATTTACGATGACATTTTCACAAATGCATGCCTTAATTCTTGTGTTGGCTGTGGTATGTAAACAGCGTAAGCGGATGACTTCCAGCGGCCCAAGGTTTTTATGATGTGAACCGGGATGTCTAGGCCTGAGGCTGTGGAGGCTGCCCCTATCCGGAATGAATGCCCAGAATAGTTTGCGGCGTTTAAGCCGAGTCTGGTCAATAGTAAGCGAATATACATCACAAATTTGGCGGTAGTGAGTGCTGTGCCGTGCAGTGAAAGGAGAGCGAGTGAGGTTCGTGTAGGTGATGACTGTAGATAGTTGTTAAAAACTTTCACCGGGCACCATGCGTTGTTGGTGGGGTAGTATTGAATAAGAACCTTGTGCCCCATCTGGCTGGTCTTAGTTGAAGGTAAGCTTAATACGTAGTGGTCCTGTTTTTTGTACAAGTTAGAATACCGGAGGCAATGCTTGGACTCGTGTTGCCTAGTAATGGTAAATTCTCTGGGTCGTAAGAAACCGTAAAAAGCCAAGTATATGGCCGTTTTAAGAGTGGTGTTAGTAAGGGGTTCGAACGGTGTGGTATCTAGTAGGTTTGACAAACGTTTAAACAGTTGAATGTCTATAGGCTCCCTACGTTGCGGTGTAGGTCCTTGCGATTTGAGCATACCCCTAAGGAGGGTTTTAATGGGGTAGGAGGTGAGAAACCCTTGGTTGTTAGGATGTTCTGTGAACATATGATGTTGGATACCTGTGAGGTATAGTTTTGTGGTATTATGCGACATTTTTAACTTAATGTGGCAAAAAGTGGCAAAAGCCACCAATGTTACATTGTCAAACCAATTTGTGAGATTATGGTCTGCCATGAATTTCTTGTATAGGTAGTAAGCTCTATCATATGCGCTA